ACACGGAACACGTTGAAAAAACAGAACATCATCAAAACTATCAAATAATGTGTTTTCTCGTAAACTAGTCTAGGAACTCGCACATGGTCGCTGTCATCATTATCAAGTAACAGATCATTACTTACCATATTCATCATAAAATGGTTCAGTACACGGAATATACTAATTATTATCGGTAATGACAACGGTATTATCGGTAATGTTATTATCAACCGATAATAATTAGTATATTCTGTGTACTAAACCATTTTATGATGAATGTGTTAAGTAATGATCTGTTATTTGATAATGATGACAGCGACCATGTGCGAGTTCCTAGACTAGTTTACGAGAGAACACTTTATTTGATAGTTTTGATGATGTTCTGTTTTTTCAACGTGTTCCGTGTCACAAATACACCGCACTTTTCATACCTCATACCTCGTACCCAAACCTCATAGAAGAGGAAGGACCTCTCGTATATTTCAACGATATCTGTTAATTTCTGTTAATAGTCGATAGAGGATATAGCATAAGGCCGTATTTATTAACTCCGTTACAACAGCCTGCAAATCGTGCAAAGCAATTATTCAACGAGTCGCATATACGGTTATATATACGGTTGTCGTCGAAAAATAGATACGGTCTTAATAATAAAATGATTGAGTAGAGAGCAAAATGAGGAACAACCACCTGATCATGAAGATGTTGAACGCTTCATATATCTAATGCAAGAAGATGAAGTACCTAACATAAGCGACATATATAACAGAAACAATATATTGTTGCAAGGGAATCAAACTAGGAGGGACTTAACTGGTCCTATTTTAGATTCATTGCTAAATAGCAATGAGTTGAATTGAATTGAAAATAATGCTTTTGATAAAGAATCACAATTATTAAATTGAAATAACTTATGATGCATTACTAAAAGAAATGGAAAATAGCATTATTTGCTTAAGTCTGTTTTAAGTATTCCAATTTTAACTTACCTACTGAAACTCGAACATGATTTTGTCCTGCTCTTTTTTGGCTAAAATGTTTTAAAGCTCTTCTTCATAACATAGCATTGTTCGCTTCCAACTGGGAGTCTAAGGTTTTTCCTTATAGGAAAAATGTACTCCGTTTTTTATTTTCAAATGACTCTTTGCCCAGCAAACCGAGGCAAAATGAAAATTAGCCCTTTTCAACAAAAAAGTTGAAACAAGTATTTCGTATGCCCAAAAGACCCAAGCCCAACCCACCCAAAAATCACAGCCACAAACTCCTCCCACACATCCAACTAAACAAGCTCCACCCAAGCTAACCCAAACCCCGCCCCCAAAACCTGCGACTAACGCAAACCTCAATCCCCAACTTATCCAACTCCTTCTCCTTTCCGACC